ATATTGGCACAGAAATATCCACTAAGCTACGATCTCAAAGTTTCGAGCTGGAATGAATAACTTCAACGAGCACAGAGTCTCCAAAACAAAACAGATTTAGAAACAAGCTCCGAAGGACAAGCGGCAGAGATAACTCTTAGTCTGACTAAAATCGAAAATAAATGTAACCCCCTTTCATATAATTTTTTTTAACCGCATCTACAAAATTCTCGAATTGTCTCAAAGACGACAGAACGTCTAGGATTCCAGACCTCGCGAATGCCAGCCAGTCTCGAAAACTATCGCGACTGGCAGGTCAGAAAGGAACCAGTGATCGGGGCTCGCCCGTAACAGTATCACGTGAATTTGGTTTCAAAAATACAACCCTATTATAGTAAATGTTTTATCAGTATTCTGAGAAATACCGTGAGAAAAAAAAGTAGGCACAAGGCAAATAAAAATATATGGTCTTAAAAAATAATAACCCGCATAATTTCTACTAAAATTTTTATTTGTGTCTGTATTATTTTGTAAATTCACTTTGTCTGAGCTCAAGGGGGGGGGTTAAACCCCCCCCCCCCCCCTTGCGTACGCCCCTGTTCTCTGAATACCATTTTTTACCCGACGGAATCGGATTTTTGACCCTAAAAATAAAGGGGATAGCTACAATCTGGAAACTTTGGTCCCATTAGTTTGATCAGGAGAGCGCTCCAATGTTTAGTGCCCTTAATGTTAATTTTACTTTCTGCGTATTTCGCTTTATCTCAAGAACTTTTTGAACGAATTGAAAAACTTTTACACACAATTATAAAATATGTCTATCCAAAAATAATTCCATTCAAAAAATTAACTTTTAATAAATATTTATAATTTTAAAAAGAATGACTAGAATAGTCAAAGAAATATTGACTTCTAAGGTGTAAAGTTTTTTTACATTATTTTTAAAGCATGTAATTTTGCATGACAAAATAGAAAATTTGAGCAAAATCGGTCAAATAGTTCCTGAGAAATTAAATTTCAAATTAGTTAAATAGTTAAAATTCGATTTCTCAGGAACTATTCAACCGATTTTTTTCAAGTTTTGTCATGTAAAATTACATTCGTTAAAATGATGCAAAAAAATGCCTACCATATAGTTCAGTATTTTTTAGACTATTCTTAAGTAAAATAAGAGATATTTACTAAAAGTTATTTTCTGCATGGAATTATCATTGGACAAATGGATTTCATAATCATCTGCAAAAATGTTTCAATTCGCTGAAAAAATTCTCGAGATATAACGAAATACGCAAAAATATAATTAACATTCGGGGATCCAAACTTTGAATTGCTCTCCTGACCAAACTACGGGAACCATATTTCTAAGATTGCGGCTACCCGTTATATTATAGGGTCAAAAATAAGATTCCGCCGAAAGAAACGATATGTTTTTTAGAGCAAGTACGTTTTAGCACCTGATTTCGCAAGTTAAAATATGGTCTTCAATTTTTAATAAGCATATTTTTTGTCACCCCCTAGAGCCATTATAGTTCTAGAACGTGAAAATCTGATCATTAGATCAAAAATTATTCAAAATGGTCCTTTTTTTTTTTTTTTTTTTAATTTAAAAAATCCATGTATTATGCACCAATCCATGTACCTTAGAGAAGCGCGAAAATGACTAAAGCAATGGCATATATTCTTTTCAACTTTTTTATGATAGTAATACTCTGTTTCCACTAGTAGGTTTAAGTTTTTTAAAGTACATTTAAACTTTCTTAAACCGATTTTCTGAACACTTAATCTTCTTAACTTGATAGTGAAAACAGAGTATGAGAAAGCAGTATTAACTATATTATATAAGCATAATTGCCTAAAGGGACCATTCTCTTCAAGAAATTCGCATGCGATTTTGCCACTTAATTAATCAATTATCCGTCCCACAGTAGATAGAAGGGGGGAGGGGAACAATCTCGGTTCGTTCTCTCAGATCGTGAGATTCTGATATATACCTTCTAATGATAATATTTAAATAAAATAAGAATAAATATAAGTTCCAAGGGTGGGGTCTTACATAAGAATAAAGCGAAATGAGCGAGAGTTGTGATCCGATTGAGCAAGCAGGTTTTTGTTTTTCCTGAAACAAGTATTCAATGACACAAATATGTTGATGCACAATATTTATTCACTTAAGAAGGACTTAATACAAGAAATCGAAATATTTTCGCCAAGAGAAGCCAAAACAAGCTTGATATTATGCAAAGGATAAGTCCTGCCCATTCTATTGAGAGAGGCCATCCTACTACAAATATTCTAACTCTCATGTATTCCTCCGGAATACCAACATCAAGCATCGTGCTTGTGTAAAATCCGTCAGGTTTTACTCTCTTGAATCGCATGAATACCAGGTTGAAAGTTCCAAATACAGCTGAAATCAGAAATTATGAAAAATTAACTGAATGAATCATATTATTTTCAAATCAGTATGTTTGTAATTTTACAGTAGCGCTTAGAGGATAGAATATCCATTAAACTCCTCCCTTTTAGAATTCTTTAAGTATTTGGGCTGACAATAAAAACATATAAAATTTGATTTTTAGAAATTATTAATTAATGTGAAAGCTAGAGTAAAAATAAATAATTGAGACTACATATTTCCCAAATTATCTAGCCAATTAAAATTCATCCTGAAAATGTAGATAATAGCAACTATTATAGCCCACAAATCTTGATTATGATATTCAATAAAAATTTTCAGGAATGCCATTCAGCGTTATTTGAAAAATTAAGCAATTTGGATAATTTTAATCACATCTTTGCCATGATTGATATTTAAAATGATTCGTCAAATTTTGATAGCACTGCATGTCACGTCTTCAGATCTAGAAAGCAGCTGAATTTTTCGAAAGTATCTTGTGTAAGAGATGAGAACTTAGCGTCCGTAAATATAACTTCATTGAGTTTTCATATTAATGGAGAAAGTTCTATTTTATGAGGATTAAAATGTATGAATGTTATAATCAATAAATAAACAAACTATTAACTTAATCTAATCTTTAGGTTTTTTTCTAAGAACACTGTTCAATTTTTAAATCGAGTGTGCGTTTCAACGTATTTTGGTTATATTATTAAAGTATAATGATATTTTATCTGTTTTTCTTTATTTTTAACTATGATTATAAACATAAACTTTATATATCGAGTTGTTATATGTTTTCTGTCATATATTGCGGAATTGAACATTTCTAAATTGATCGTAAAAAGTAAATCAACATAAATACACGCGCTGAAGTTTGTATTACTATTTAATTAGAAAAAAACAAGCGCAATATGGCGAATCATTATCAAGGTCAATAATTGTTAAGGTGGGCATAATTAGAAAGCATAGTTAAAAAAAGTATCTATGGTGGAATCTATTTGGTCTAGAGTTTCTCTAACTAACAACTATGTTAACAACTCTAACCAACAACTGTTTCACCAAAAAGTGAAATATTTCGTCTTTTTCAGTGCATCTAAACGTAGTTCTTTAAATTTTTATTTCCTTTCTTCACATTTATTTATTTGGAAATCGTTCGGAGAGTGATTTGTAATTGAATATTTTCAATATAAATTGAAGAAGTTAAAGTGAATTACTATCTTCAAAGTTCCAGTCATGAATTTCTTTATACTTCAACGTGATCTACTTTTACACGTTCATCAACCTATAGATAAAATTTTTATAAGTAACGCAGAAAATTCCAATCAACAGTCTATAAATTAAATTATATAATTTAGTGCGATGTACTACTGTTCAGCAATCTATGGATTGAAATTAAGTAAATAATATAGATAATTTAGTGTTACCGATATATTACCGATTAGTGTTACCGATAGATAATTCAATATGATGTAAAACAACTATATGTTAAACAATCCATAGATTGAAGTTATCCATAATGTCAAGGAAAATTCAATAAGATCTACTTTTTTATGATCAAAAATGTATAGATAAAAATTGTATAAATAAAAATTATATAAATAGTACAGTGTGATATACTATTATATTTTCAACTCACAATTAATAAAATATAAGTAAAATAGAAAATTCAGTGCGATCTACTATTGCATTTTTACCAACTTTTAAATAAAAGTTTTAACTTAGTGTGATATGATACCATGTATACAATGCGCAAAGGAAATAACGGACCATCCTGAATGACTTTTGATCTAATGATCGGATCTTCACGTTCTAGGACTTAATCTTAATGATTCGAGGGGGTGACCTCAAATATGATAATTAATTAGTGAAGACGATATTTTTAAGTTACGAAATATGACTCAAAATACGATTTCTTTTATTAAAGTTCGATTTCTCAGGATGAATTCGGTCGATTTCGCTCAAATTTTGTATTTTGCCAAGTAAAATTACATTCTTTAAAATTATATTAAAAATTGTGTACCTTACAATTAAATTTCTGTTTGATGATTATTAAATAAAATGATAAAAAATAATATATAGTTACTAAAAATATTTTTTTGCTTGGAATTATCGTTTAATAAACAAATTTTATAATTGAGTGCAAAAACTTTTCAATTTGCTACAAAAGTTTTCGAAATAAGCAAAAAGTAAAATTAACATTAAGGGATACAAACTTAAGACCATTGTCCTGACCTTCTCCTCCAATTGGGAACATATTTCTCAGATTGTGGCTTCCCCTTATATTTTGAAAGTCAGAAATTTGTCGAAAAAACGGTGTGTTTATTCAGAAAAAGTACATTCTTGTGTCTGACTTCGTAATTTCAAATATCGTCTGCACTAATTAATCAACATATTTTAGATTCCTAGAACATAGAGATCCACTCAATAGATCAAAAGTTATTCAGGGTTTATTTTCTTGCGCATTAACAACAATCTATAAATAAAAAGCGTATTCATAGTTAAAGTATAATTCAGATATTTAAATTAAAAAAAATATTCTAGTTACATAAGATTTTTTTTTTAAAATAACGTTCTTACAAATTAAATATACAAATGTAAAATTGAAATCTAATACTGCGTATAGTTTATTATTCGAAAAATGTGAATTGTTGTATCTAAAGTACCGTGAATATGAGATTCCAGTAAAAAATGCCTAAATATCTGTCCGTTGCACCGTTTGCTATTTACGATATTATCGATTTTATGCTTCCTGTCTCATAAATGCGTATAGCACGAATTTCGCATCAGCCGTGACGTCACTAAAAAAATTGCAGGATATAAAAAAATATAAAAACAGCTGAACAGATACTTACACTTCCTGAACCTATTTAATTAAAAGAGCATTAAATAAAATAAAATAAAAAAACTTTTTACAACAAAAAAAATTTCCTTACGTATTATAATACGCATATATTATAATTTCTGATTTATTTTCTATTTCTATTATATTTTCCGCTTTTCTTGTTGTTATATTACCATATATCAATAAAAATCATCAGTATTATTAAAAAAATACATTAGACTTTTCCAATCAACTTTGCGCATTATATAATGACGATTGCTGTTTACAAGAACCAAATTGCAAAGAACCTGACGCATCTGCACGCCACTGCACTTTAAATATGTTAAATACTAACTATTAGTACTGTCTATAATTTAAAATATGAAATACGGCCACACAAAACGGTTTCTCAGAATAAAAATAATCTTTTACGACGTATTCGTATCATAAAATGACTAAAAATACACAACCGCCATCTAGAGTCTAGATATATGGAGATTTGTATAGAGATATTCGCCAACTAGATTTGCGGATAGAAAGTATTTCGCCAGATGGCAATAATTTAGTCATGGTTAATTTATATAGTGAGATAAATAAACTATTATGAACAATAATTAATGGCAAACGGATCATGAATAAGAGTCGTTTTGCAATTTAACAAACAGAGAGAGATTTTCGTTGTTTTCCTCTCTGTGTAACGCAAAATTCTAGTATTCTTTATATAAGACTCAAAATATCTTCAACAAAAATGAGTTTATCATAATGCTTAATCTAGTAGTCTTTTTTTTCTGAGTGACATCAATAAATTTTGATCGTGAATGATCAATTATCTTAACATCAAAATTTCCAATTCAGTATAAAAAAGCGAAAAAATGGATTTTTTTAAAAACAATTACTGATAATTTTTTATTTTTCTTTGAAGAAAACTTTCATTTTTATCGAAAATAAGTAATACTGAATATTTTTCTTTAATACTTAAAAGGAAAATTCTCAATAACTTCTAGAAAGAACTTACTCTTGAAGTTTTTATTTCTTTATGAACTTTTAATGACTGAACATTTATCTTAGATATTATTTTTAAGGAATATTTCAGCATAGAACATATTGAGTTTCAAATTATTTCTCTTTTAAATAATTCAGCAAGATTAAAAAAAAGTTATCAACTAAGTAATAAACTAACCTGCCAGACTGTACATAACTCCTGTAACCATGATTGTACTGATTTGTTTCTTATACAGGCCTAAAAGTCCGAGTGGTCCAGAACAACCCAGAAGAATGAGGCACACTATGGCACATGACATTGCTAAATTCCGCATACCTAAGAATGAATTAATTCCTTTTAAATATTTTTTGAACAAATAATATATGAACATTCTGGAGAATTCACTACTACCATGAATTACAATCAAAATACAAAGACCCTAACATAGTAAAAATGATCAAGGTTTCTTAAATAAGGTGGCTGGGACAGGTATTTCGATATAGAGTTAAAATCCTGTTAATAAATAACCTTCCAAACACCAGAGGGAAAAAGAAGGAGAGGAAGATCTAGAACAAGGTGGTTAAAAAGAGTAAAGAAATGTTTAAAGGACTTGGGAGTTAATAGATGGAGAAATATTGCATCAAATACATCTAGATAAGATAAATTGACTGATGTGGCCTTGGCCGGGATCCTGCTGTAGTGCATAAGAAGAAGAATATATATACATTATGTATTAAAAATCAAGCAGTCCATTTTCACAAAAATGTACTCAACTCAAGATTATGAATTTTTATTGGAATTTATTAAAGATTTGCTTTACTTTTATCTTCTTTCCTTTTTTTCTTTTATCATTATTTTTTTTTTTAAATGCACTTTTATTAGCTGTTAGCTTATACGATTTCAAATAAATGAAGATCACTTAAAAAATGTTTCTCAAATAAATTAAGATCACTTTGTTAAAAAAAAACATACTTGATAAATTGTTGATTAATTATTTTTTGATACGTTAATCTTAACGAAACGAACAATTGAGATATAATCAACTGTATTGGAAAGAAAAAAAAATTTAATTTTTGAAAGCAAAATGTTCCTAAAAAATTGGTGAAAATTTTTATGAAGTTACTTTTGACGAGGATGTGAAATACCTTTAGAACAAAAGTCGTTTAACTGACTAATAATAGCAGTTTCATTGTTTGATCATATTAGGATTATAACTTCTTCTATTTAAAAATCCAGAAGATTTCAAATGAATACAGATTTTTTTATTGAGCCGCGATGGCTCAGTGGTTAAGACACTGAGCTGTCATTGTGAAGAACTGAGGGTCAATCCCCAGTTGCGGCTTGAAGCCCATTCAGCTTCAGATCAATCGGTACCAGCTTGTCTGGGAAGTAAAGGCGTTCTGTGCGCAATGCTGACTGCATTGCCACAATCAGGCTGTTGGTCTCAAATTTCTTGAGCCTTAACCTGCCAACAACGGGCTGTTGAGGGAACGCTTTTTACAGATTTGTTATTAAAACACTTTTATGGTGCTTAAATTTATATTAAATTTTAATAGTCGATTAACACTAATATATAACTATGTATTTCCCTTAAAGTTTATAAAACATAAGTTAGCAGATGTATTTAAAGCATTTTGCAGAATATATAATTATTATATATGCACGGTGTTGCGTAACTAACACCTTTAATGCATAATTTTTAAGAATCCTTGTCAAAGTGAAATAAAAACAGTAGGTAGTTAAATTATTATGGGTAGAATTAATTGAGGTAAAAACTAGTACTAAACTTTCAAAAACTAGTGATTCACTATAGAGGAAGGCGGGACTGAAAATATCAAAATCTGTTTGATTACCGGAGGGAACAGAAATTATTTGAAAATCAATTTGAAACACCTCTAAGTTTCAGCAGACAATCAGGGACGTTTTTCATAATTTTTTCTGTAGTGATTTGACTGATTAAACAGTATTTTGCGAGTACAATTTTTAGCTGCAGATTTTAAATAGTAAAATTTTTAATAGACGATTTTTAATAGTACAATTTTTAATAGACGATTTTCAATAGTACAAACTTTAGTAACAGATTTGGAATAGTACAATTTTTAGTAGCAGATTTTAAATAGTACAACTTTTAGTAACAGAAAGAGATTGCACTGCTTATTCACGCCAGATAAAAGTTTTGCACTTTTTTCACGAATTCGGTCACTTCTAATCATTCACCAACTGCAGTAATATATAATCAAATATCGTAGTAATGAATTGATGGAAAATCAATACATTGGCTTGTCCGGGTCATGTGCCTTGGCTCATCTCGAAAACTTATACATCAATTGTTTCTAGCCGTTTGTCTTAGACAATCTTCTCCATAATTATGGACTATAAATGCCAGCATAACGTTCATCTACTGCCACTAAAAATTGCATTACTACACGCTGTTCAGTTCTTAACGCATCATTAACGACTCATTCATTAACGACTTTGCATTCACTTTGAATACTCTAATCCGAACAGGCTAATAAATCATGGGCGCTCTGGGCTGCTATTGCTACTGTATTTCTAACGTTATGATGCGTGTTCACTTATCATTTTGGCAATCCTTATAAAAGTAACATTAAATTTCAATTTTTTTTCTTTCATCCAGTTTTATAATCGAATTAAAGATAAGAGCTTCGTTCAGATTTATAAAATAAAACAAATTTATGCTTAATGTTATATTGAAAACATAAATATTATTCTATGAAATTAGTCAGATGAATTCGGAAAAAGAATTCCCTCTATTTTTCTTTCTCTATTTTTTATTTGTTAAAGTATTAAAAGCACAGATGTTGGCACGTACTTACGATCTAGCCAAGAATCTCTGGATATAATCTTTTCATTGGAAAGATAGGAAATGCAGTAATCGACTTCTTGGCCATCTTCCTTCATTTGATTACGAACTATATCTGAAAGAAAAATATAACTTTCATTCTAATCTCTTTGCTGAGAATAAAAATAAATAATTTAAGCATTTTTCTATTCGGATATATCTATGAATTACATGATCAATCTTTGGGGAGAGGCTTTTAAGCGAGCACTAGGGTTAATAGTGGTTGACAAAACTTTTTTATTAACTAAAAAAAGGATATTGCTTAGAAGGAAAAAATTATAATTATTAAAAAATTATAATTAATTAAAATTATTAAAAAAAGGATATTGCAATACAATTGCTTAGTTTTAACGTATTATATGTTGAAAGTTAATTTTTTTTTATCAGAGATACTATGAGCAAATTTAATGTTTAGTTTTAATTTAAAATATCGTCTGCAAACGTTTATTGAACATTTTTATGACTTTTATAAGAGTTTGAAAACAGCCAGGAAGATATTTAATTTTATCGTCTGAAAATAAACTCGCATTTAATGGCATAAAAATTTTCATTCCGTCAATTTTCCGAAATGTCGCATGTTATTAAACAAAGAACATGCGTTAAGTTTTGTTTTCGCCATGAAATTTCTGCTACAAAAGCATTTTAAATTTTGTAAAAAACTTTTAAACACGACTGTTCATCAAAAACAACAGTATTTGATGGGAATAAAAAGGTCGAAGTCCTTAAAAATCCATAGAAGATGACAAGCGATCTGTTAGACCACCCACTGTTCCACTTCGATTGATAAACAACATACTGATCAAATGAGAATATTGATATTCGGTGATAATAATTCGGTAATATGAGGCAGTATTGAGCAAGTTACTTTATCATCCCTATATATTTTTATCATTTCTATATAATCCTATATATTCCCATCAAGCAAATTAAAAAGAACATTTAAGGGAGTCGCATGTCAAGTTGTTCCAAGAACTTCGAACTTATTCCAAAACCAACGACCTGTTTAAGTGGTTCGACAAATGCTTTCAGAAGGAGATTCCTCTATTAAAACACACTGAAAACTTGGATCCAGTACCGTCTTTACGCATGGGCACAACCGGGCAGTGCCCAAGGGCCCCAGGCACTCAGAGGGGCAATGATAATCTTACTTTTTATAAATTGTATTTAAAAACACTAAGAATAAACAAAATTGCCTCATATATTTTTCAAAAATAAATATATTCTATTGTATAAAGTGTGCATTTTGTTTTCCTTTCTGCAAATAGTGATTGGTTATCATGCAAACAGCAACAATTTGAATAGTTTATCACCAGGGAAACTTAAAATTTCAACTGAAATCCATTTTTCTACTTTCTAATGAAGTTTTTATGTGGATTCAGTTTCTTTGGGTAATCAAAATGTATTTAAATTTGTTCAAATTATTGCATATGTAAAAAATGTTTTATTTTATGTATGTGAAGTTTTTTAGTTCGATTTTAAGCAGTATGACCTGTTATGAGGGCTCAAAACATTTTTTTGTCCGGGGGCCTGAGACGACTCTGCTTGGACCCATGGTGAAGAAGCTTGGATTTAGGGTTTTGACACAGAAACAGATCAATGATTAAGTGAATGGCACTTGTAAGATGAAGCACGACCGAAAAGTTGCCGTAAAAAAAGTTGTCGAATATTTTCTTATATCGTCGCGTTGTCGTGCATAGAGAGTTCCTGCCAACCTGCCAGACAGCCAACGAAGATTATTTTAAATGTTTTGCTGTCGCATTTTGATTGTTTTGCGTGCAGCGATCGTCGAAAATGACGTGAAATGTGGAGAGAAAACTCATGGATTTTACATTTCGATAACGCGTCTTCTCACCTTGGGCAATTTGTCAATTTTTTTGGAAGACAACAAATACGACCTCACAAGCACCATGTTCTCTTTATATGGCAAAATGTGGCTTTTTTACCTCCACGAATGATGTTGTCTCTTTGTGGTCATTGCTTTGAATTCATTAATTCGATAAAAGAATATTCGCTACGAAACTCTGAACGGAATTTTAAGACATGTTTAATAAATTTAAGAAAATATTGGCAAAAGTGCATTAGAGTGGGAGAAATATATTTCGAATAAGAAATACACTTTCACTAAGCTCTTTTGTCTTCCTAGCCTTTTTTATCTACAGAAAAAAAGTTGGGAAAAAAAATTTATAAGTGCAGGGAGTTTCCGCTATTTATCAGACGAAAAAATATCGGCACACGGAAAAAATAACGGCAAAAATCATTCGTACCAAATGCAAAACTCGCATAAAACATCGAAATCCTAAAATACTAAAAAACGCGCATAAAGCATCCAAACCGAAAAATACTATAAAACACGCATGCCTTTAACTGAACTTAGATTTATTTTTTGTTCATGTATTTTATTATAACCATAATACATCTTTGTTTTGTGTACCTGGCAACTACGATGCATAATTAGTTTATTTATGTTCTATGTAGCTGCTTACAATATTTAATGTAATATTATGATTTAAAACTGCAAAAGAACAAGAGACAACTTTTGAAATTACTTGTTTATTTCTCTCCGTTAAATCGCGCACTGAAGTGTAAGTAGTAGCTGTTCGCTAACGCTTCTTATTTTTATCGATAGTGTCACTACCACAGTATGACGAGGTTACCGACCCGACTTTCTACATGGCTTCGTGCATGTCTTTGTGCTAAGTAAGAAATATATACTGAAAAGACAGAAATCTTTGAGAAGGAATATAGAATGCGCCACTTAAGAGAATTAATACTTGGCGGGCATGGCTTACTCGGAATAGAATGGAAGGAACAGTTGCTAACCTAAACAAAGCTACGTTTCAACAACCAATCAGAATCGAGATACCCACACTACGTCACTTGCAGGCATCACATTTTAAATTTTAGTCTTAAATATATTATTAGCTGTTATTTAGTATCAATTCTACGGCTTTCACTGATTCATTTATAGTAACTGTCTAAGTATTGTTACTCGTAGTTATAAAGTTATAATTTAAAAAAATAATATTTTTGTAAGATAACACTTTTGATTATTTATTTATTTATTGGTAAACTATTAATTTTATTTTAATATAAATAAGCAATAGCTATATTTGATAGAGGTACTGTTTACATCATTGCAAACAAGTCATTTAATTTTTTTTTTGATGCATAATAAAATAATAAATATTATAAAGCAAAATAAGTGATGAAAATTTTAAAGAAAGGGTTTCAGTAAGTAGTTATAAAAATTTTTTTGCTATAAATGTTTTGCCTTAACTATTATATAAAAATTAAAGTATTTACAATTACTGTTTACGTTATAATTATTTCTTATTTAAACAGTAAGAGTCTTAAACTATTTTTTTTCAGGACAGCTGAATGAATGACTAAGTTTTAAGGATTCAGTTAATTAATAATAGTAATTCAATTAGTAAAATTTGTACTATTTCTATTTTTATAAGAGTTGTCTACACCCAGGTCTACACCAATCTCGAATAATCGTTAATTCTATTTATCACGTAAAATAAAAAATTAAAATATTATTTTAAGAGAAAAGCATTACTTGCGATTTAAATTTAGTAAATTGGGATTAATTTGATTTTAAGAGGCACAAAGTTTCAGAAAGGAACCACTAAAATACTAAAAAACTTTAATTAAAAAAAATTTAAATAAATTTATTTTAAAATGCAAAAAAAAAGAAAATTAAAATTTTATGCTATGAGATTTGAGGACCCTTGGAACGACAACCTAGCCCTGTTTAAGAGAAATCATATAATAAATAAGAACCTATCATCTTTTTTTTTATTGTGTTATTTAACACGCATTGCATTGAAATGTCTTGGTAATGTTACAACCCTGGATACAAGTAATGTAAGTGTTAGTAATATATTAAAACTTATTATTTCTTTTGCCTAACTGTATTTTTAATTAGTAATTTATTTTCTTTCAAGTTAATATTAATTTTTTCTGTAAATATAATTTTTTTTTCTGGTTAGGAACAGTAATAACGGGGACTTAAGTATTATCCCGACGATCCTTTCACCACGTCTGAAAATAAATTTAGAAATGGTTCAAATATACTAAATTGAAATAAATTTGAAAGATACCAAAGTGACTCTGGCGCGATGTTAGCGAAATTTGGCCGACGAGAAAGCACGTAAATGGGTGCTTCTTTGGAAACATGACAATTCCGAACAAAAAATTTCTTCGAATTTAAAGTCTTCAAAATAATCTAAATTTTTTGCGTGTATTTATTTAGTTACATTTATTAATATCTTACAGACAGCAATGTAGTTTATTGACATTTGCTCAAGAAAAAAAATTAAATAGAAATTTACCAAATTTTGAATGTCAGGAAAATGAAATATTAGTTTAGAAGCTTAAAAAACAGTGATTTTAAGCTAAAAGTGAGTAACTCAACTTATGTCTTTATGTTAGATGGACCATGAATTACTTAAATTAATTATTTCATCCACTGTAGAAAGAATCCAAAATGTTTTTGTTGCTAATACGTGCAGAATAAAATTTTATATAATAATCAATCATTAAATAACTTTGATTACATTCAAGCATATTAGAGTCCAGTATAAACTTGGTATTAGGTTAATATTTGCTTTTCCTCTTTACAGTATACTGTTTAAAAAGTTTTCTAGTAACACGTCATTGACCTGTGATTCATAAGCCAGGAAAATGACAGCCAGGACAATGACAAATTTGCTATTTTATAGCATTTAACTTTACTTTAATTTAACATTTTAGCCTAAGACGTTTAGATTCGGCAGAAAACAAAAGGATTTCTTGAAATAACTCAGATAAATTTATGTAGTTATTATGATTAATGATTGCAAGAAGACAGGAAAAGGACAACATAAAAACCTGCTCACATTGAAAAGATTTTTGAAATAGATTTTGAACCAGAAAGTTGTTTCTTTATTGATCCAGTAAGACATGTTCACATATTATGGCATTCTAACCAATCTATTAACATAAGATATTGATGGCTGGCGCTATATATTTTGGTTATAAATCACTTAATAAAAGTAGCCAGGAAAATGACAGATTTTCGTGTGACAAACA